GCCAAAGGAAGATAGCACAATAGACATAACTTTGATTATGCAGATCTTTGTTGGCAAGGTGATGTCCCTGCTTTTTAATATGCTGTCTAGGTTTGCCATAGCTTTCCTCCCAAGGAGCAACAACAATTTAAATTCCAAATTTTTATCTTCCATTGTCGTCATTCAGTTTGATTTATATATTTGTGTTCTTTAAACTGTGCCAGCAAAACAAAAAACAAACAGATGTAGCTTGCAAAATGACCTTTTCCTGTGGTCAGGTAAATGAAGATCTTATCCATGCATAATTAAAATGCTCATTAACAGTGGTGCATAGTCTGATTTATGGCTATTAAGAAAGACTCTAAAGTAACCTCTGAATTCTATGTAAATGTCCTATTTCCTCTTTTTTCTTTCCATAGATCATTAAGGACCAAAAACTAATGGTGATCGTTGGAGGAATGCTACTGATAGATCTTTGCATCTTGATTTGTTGGCAAGTTGTTGATCCCTTGAGGAGAACAGTAGAAAAGTACAACATGGAGGTATGTCATTTCAACAATTTTATTTTAATGGTTCTCCAGTTAGCTGTTTAAGATTGTAATGCAAACTAAAAATATATTATAAAATGTCAGGAATAGATCTTTTTAGTGGACTGGGAAAACAGATAGATAGATAGACAGACAGACAGATAGATATCACAAGTGGAATCCGGCATCTCTACTATGCTTAAGAGGTTTTAGATGCAGTAATATTGTAAACACAGAGGAGTTGTCTGCTAAAAGTCTATAAGAGATGGTGTTGCAATAAATAATAGATTTTCAGACTCCATTAGCAGGATTCATGAGGAACTAATGCAAACTAGACATAAAATAAAGGCATAAAATGAAGTCATCTGTTCCAAAGATCACTGTATCAAAAACTAAGCTTCCATTGCTACTGTGGATCTTTGGGTACTGTAATATCACTGTCTATTACTTTGCTCAAATTAGTTGATTTATGCAGAATGACTAGTCCAATTTTGGTATCATTTTAAAAAGGGTCACCCTGGAAATGTAAAAGTCAAGGATGAGAGAACACATAGCATGTTGTTTAATATCAGATTTTCCAGTTGTGTGTGATAACTATTTCTAGAAGGAAAGGAAGTAGAATTGCTTTGAAACAGTAAATTAATAGGGAAAAGTTTCTTTGTCTGCAGTTTTATTTATTTGAATTTATTAGCTATCCAACTCCAATGGACTCTGAAGAAAACCTGACTTGATGGCCAAAATAATCCCCCTCTAATCACAATTCCTGCAGTAGATCTGATTTATAAGCAAAAATACATCGAAGCAACAGCATTGAATAACATCTGATACATACCTACATAGGTTCTGAGAGCTACTAGTATTTCTTGTGGATAAATATGGCTGTTTTAATGCTTTTATGAGGCTGTTGCATCTTCTGACAAATCATATTGTTGACTTAAAAAAACTAAGATTTGAAAAGGAGGCCTTCTCTAGGTTTGAAAAGGAAGTCAGATGTTTGTTATGAATTGTATTGTTTCTGCTACATTCTGTTGATGGCCACCATATATCTCTTCTTGTAAAGCAGAAATGGCCAATCATTGTGTTCTTGTACTATAATACTTGTGGGTCTCTTCTCCAGGTACTGATTAGGTGGTCCTTTCTGAAACAGACTTCCCAAGAAATTATCAGGTTCTGGCATAATAGTGTACCTTCAAACATTAAAGACTGTATATTCATGGAGTTATACACACACACACACGTGTATGTGTGCACATGTGTGTGTATATATACAGGGTATATCAAAAGTCAGACCCCATAGACAATTTATTATATAAATTACATTAAATGTTCATCTTGGTTGCCACTTTCTTCTAAACACTTCCTTACTCATTTTACACATGACCTTTGAACGTCTTCTCTGAAAAAAATTAATAAAACATTGTGATTGACCTATGGGGCCTCACATTTGGTACACCCTGTGTGTGTGTGTGTGTGTGTACATACACAGACACACTCCCAAATATACATGCATATACATGTATGTATATATTTAAAAACCTGGGACTGTATACAAAATTTAGAGACGTTTGAAAAATTAGCTGAAAAAATTATTTGCTCTTTCATCTGATTCCTATAGTAAAGCCAAAGGAAGATAGCACAATAGAAAAGCAATATGCTATGAATGTAAAACATTGGACAGCTAGTTTCTGCCATATTGTTTTTGGAAAATCAGGGCTACTGCCAGATTTTCTTGGAAAATTAGGGCTACTCAGGTAGGCATAATTTATTATCAAGCAAAATGGACTTACTCATGTTCAGTGTTGAACCTTTTGTTAAGAATTCCATTTATTTTCATATGCGGTTTACTTCTATCAGCAACCAACTTTCAATATACTCACATAAAATGTTTTCTAATTCAGGCCTATTTACATTATCACACTTTCTCTGAATCAACATGAATATCTGAAAACTTCCTTTCTCATATTCATGCATTTCTCAATAACTATCTGAAGAGCAAAACCTGGTGCACTTCCCAAAGTTTGATAATTATCCACCATTTGTATCTTTACAACCAGAATTCTGCCAAACACTTTCCCAAAGCAAACTTAACAAACTAATCCCCCTATAGTTTTTCCATTCATCTTTTTTACCTTTCTCTTTATGAGAGAATATCATCATAATTCTTTTCACTTTATTCTAAGCAGCTTCCATATCATCTTTATGTCCACTTTCATAATTAATTCTGTTGGGATATTATCTAATATTTTTTCATATAGGACTCATGCCTTCTTTTCTTGCAGTCATTCTACCTTCATTCTAGTTTCTTTCATTCCTTTCCTTTTCTTCTATACCCAATTTTTCCCAAGATAACTACTAAAAAACGGTGTGTCCAACATTTAGAACTTCTGATTCCCATTGTATCCTACATTAATTATCTCAATATTTTAACATAATGTTTCAACATCAGTTATGAAATGTTTCTGTGCCAGATGTAAGCTTAAACCATATATTTGAAACAAAAGATTTTTTTTAAGCAGATATTCACCAAACTATTATCATTTGGTTGCCAAATGGCCCAATTGCTTTTTCTGTATACTCATTTCATTCCCATCCATCCATTCATCCAGGTATACCACCTGATCATCACACTGAGTTACACAATTTTTCATTTTACTTCTGTACTTTATTCATCCAACTTTTTTCATAAATATTGCATTTCCCTCTCTCTGTTAATTCCACAAACAGTCTGCCATTCTTCCTTTCCTTTCCTTTCCTTTCCTTTCCTTTCCTTTCCTTTCCTTTCCTTTCCTTTCCTTTCCTTTCCTTTCCTTTCCTTTCCTTTCCTTTCCTT